CAAGAAGCTTCTTGCCAGTACCAGCTCTTCTGAGCCTGACCTGTCACACCACATCATGTTAACCTCAGCTATGTCAGCCGCGATAGAACCAGGTGACTCATGCATTCTGGGATGATGTAAGTCTCCAGTTGCTTCCTCCTCACCCTGCCATTAAAGTAGTAGAGAAATTTAATGTTATAGTCTATGCAGGAGTGGAAGCTCCCTAAAAGTCAGGGGGCACTGAACCATGGCCCCACCCCCACTCTGCCCCTTCTCCTTGAACCCCCAACTTCGCACCGCCCTTCCCCTGAGGCCCCGCTCCCGCAGCACCTCTTCCCCCAAAGAATCTGCCCCTGCTCACTCCTCTCTGCCCCTCCCCCACATCGTTTGTCCTTACCACCAGTAAAAAGTGATGGAGCCATGGCCTCCTGGCCCCTCCTGTTCTGCCGACACTGAATCTGTATTAGCCATTCAGGTTTCTAGGAGGCCATCCATCGTCATTATTTATTTGTATTGCAGTGGCAACTATGGGCCCCAGTCTTTGGCCCGTTGTGCTAGGTGCTGTACAAAAAAGACAAGCCACACAGATGATTCCTGCCCCAAGAGCAATCTACATATAAGAGGAGGTAAGAGGTGGATTCAGACAGCAAACCAGGAAACAGTGAGACGGTATACAACTACTTTGCATTGCCACGTTGTGCATTTAATCTGTAGGGCCGCCTTCAAGAGTTGGTCATTATAATTATCCCCATTTTACAGGTAGACTCAGTGTACTGACATGACTTTAGTCAGTCCCAGAGACAGGCAAGAAAACTCCGGTCTCCTGAAGTTCCCATATGAGATGACAGCTCCCTCACTGGTAAAGACCTGCAGAATGAACCTTCAGCTCACCTCCTTTAGAACTAGCTTCTGACCCAAGTTACAAGCAGAGGTGATCAAAATTATTAACATGTAGGAGTTGTGTTAAATTTGCAGGGGACTCAGCCACCTCTGTGGCTGTTTGAAGTTTTCTGGGAATGGGGAAATTGTTGAAATGAACTTCTTTTTTATTTTGGAGATGGTCAAGAATTTTTAAAAGCAAACCAACCCCTTTTGATGAGCTTTCTTTACCCTGGTCATCTGAGAAACTCCAGTGGAATTGCATCAAGTATGAGTCAAAGTAAAATTTAGATTGCTAGGCTTTAAAAAAAGCCTGTACATTTTTTTTTGAACAAGCTGTGCCTCTACAGGCCATTACACAGCAGACAATTATTTTGGCTTTTCTAGGCCCTTTTTTCTAAAAAATCCTCAAGTATTTTAGAAAACCAAAGCCCCATTTTGTCCCTCCAAGTTGGTTTGAATTTCATCCTCATCTTAGAGAGGAGGCAACTGAGCCCAGAGAAGTTAAGCGACTTGCCTGGGGTCAATGAAAGAGCCAGAACTAGAACCTGAGTTCCAATTTCTAGCTTTAAGAAATCAAATGAAATAAAATATTCCCTTGCTGCAACTACCAGTGTTGGTGGGAGACACCCCTAAGGGCAAGGTCAGCATGGTCTCTAGGAACCACTGAAATTTTGGCCTTCCATCAAGGGTCATCACTAATACCAGCTGTTGTGTGGCTGTAGTGTGGGCACCTCCATTTGGAAACTGACCAACTGAGGATACTTTACACTCTGAAAATATTTCATCCTGCCTTGAGTGCAGGGGACTGGACTAGAAGATTCTCAAGGTCCCTTCCAGTCCTACGATTCTCTGGTTCGATGATTGAAAGCAGGCCACAGAACAGCTATCAGAAGATACCTTTAAGTTCTATAGAGCGCAACATTATTTTGGTCCTGAATCTTGCTGTTAAACATTTGGCTTGTTGTCCCCTTGGCTGAGCATCCCGTCAAAAGGATCACTCTCAGTGGCACATAAATAAGGAAGGAGAGATGAGCGTGCTCTCTGCTACAGCCAGTTTCCATTGGCACAAAGGCCTTATAAAGGGGTGTACTTTATAGGGCACCACTGGAGGTGCAATTAACAGCTCCCCAGGGGTTAAATCTCTGCCATGAGTGGCTGGGAGCAGATGGCGGGGGTGGGGGAATTAGCATTTGGAACATAGTGAAGCTTTTGCATAAGAATTCAGAGACAGCCAAACAAAGACATTCCTGACCCACCTGCATGGGGAGCAGCAATCAGTTTGCTACTAGTCTTCTCTCAGAGTAGTGTAAATGGGGGTAGGTTATGCTGGCTTTACACCAGCTTAAGTGATAGCAGAACAAGGCTCCAAAGGTGCAAGGGCAGACCGAAAGGATTTAAGAATTTTATTAAGATGATGTTTAAGAAAAAAAAAGTGAACAGTACAGAGTTTAAGCATAGAAGTTTCTGGTTAGGAGGGAATAACATACAGATTATCGAGGGTGCTACACTACACTTGATCTTAGCTCACAGAGTCGAGAAGCAATGGGCAACTAGCCAAGAGCAGAAGAAAAGTTTTCCCTCTTCGCTAATGCAAAATTCAAAAGCCAATCCACCCCAATTCCCTACCATGCCTGAGATTTTAGCAGGGAGATGTTTGTTTTCTTCCCTCCCTGGGCTCCATCCTCATATTTACAGGCCCTTGATGCTATGGAATCTTTCCAGGCTGCTTATACATTTGCTACGTGTCTAATGAAATGTCCTCAGATTGCTCATTGGCTTGCGGTTTCTAGTCTAACGACTTGGTTGCTTTCATCTGAAATTCTCATTCTTGATGTCTGTTCCAACCTGCCTTCATTCTTTATATATTTGCATGGGTACCATAAATAGACCAGGAGATAGTCGTCTAGGAATCAGTATTGCCAACTGCAAATGTTCAAAAATATTGAGTCACGCTCACCAAAAATCATGAGATTATGTAAAATAGAGCTGGTGTTCTTTTTATTTGCCTTCTGCTTTCTGAGTGCAGTGGAGGGGGGGTCCCATTTTGAAGTTTTCTCCACAGCCACGAGGGCTAGAAACTTACTTTTGCTTTAAGAATGAAGGCTGAAATCATCACATTTACACGTGACTCCAGGAGCTGGGGCTTTAAGGAAAACAATCATTATCATGAGACTCATGACAAAATCATGAGAATTGGCAACACTGTGTTCTCACCTTAGTTAAACGGATTTACACCTGTATGAGTTACTCTGCAAATGAACATCTTAACTGAGATCAGAACCTGGCTTTGTGTCTTTTGGTTTAATTTAAGAGAAACTCACTTAGCTATGCTAAATCAGGCTATGCAACTGATCCTACTAAAGTGTTAATTAGAAGAGGATTTTTGCCGTCTTTATTCCGATAACAAGGCTAATCCAGTCAATAAGGCACCTACAGCACTTGATTAAGGCATATTTAATCAAGAAAACATACGATTATGCAGGGATTAGGTACCATAAGCAGAGCAGGGATACTAAAGATCAGAGTCTGGAAATCAAATGGGAAACTGAAATCCATGGGCCATTGATTTCAATGGAAACAAGATCAGGCCCTGAACATGGAGAGCAGCTTTGTTGCAATTTTAACATGCAGCTCAGTATGTAAATGCTATGTTTTCCCCAATGAATCTTTTCAAAAGATTGTTTGCAGTGTTCTTGTAGCTGTGTTGATCCCAGGACATTAGAGAGACAAGGTAGGCGAGGTCATATCTTTTATCAGAATAATTTCTGTTGGGGAAAGAGAAGCTTTCGAGCTTACACAGGTCCCTAAAGAAGAGCTCTGTGTAGCTTGAAAGCTTGTCTCTTTCACCAACAGAAGTTGGTCCAATAAAAGATATTACCTCCTCTACCTTAAAAAGAACAAGGAGTACTTGTGGCACCTTAGAGACTAAGCACTGGAATGGGTTACCTAGGGAGGTGGTGGAATCTCCTTCCTTAGAAGTTTTTAAGGTCAGGCTTGACACAGCCCTGGCTGGATGATTTAATTGGGGATTGGTCCTGCTTTGAGCAGGGGGTTGGACTAGATGATCTCCTGAGGTCCCTTCCAACCCTGATATTTTATGATTCTATGATTTCAGAGTGCTGTACCAGCAGTTCATCTCTCAACATGCCTATGCTGCTACTGCAAAAGCATATGGACTCTTAGTATATCAGCCTACTACTCCTTTCAACACGGGTCTGATAGCACATTTAGCTCTGAGCTTGCTTGGGACAGGCAGATCCTGGACTTGGTTCAGACTTCTCATGAGGCAGCACACTCAGTACCCCCTGGGTGCATGCATGTCCAGGCGTAGATTGGGAAACTTGGCCAGCAGTGTTTGTGTAATTGCACAGGTAATTTGTAATTGGCTGGACTTGAAAGATGGTGATTCTGAAAGAGGCAAATCTTCCTGGGTCATGCTCGAGCAAGGGAGCCAGAAGTCAGGAATTGTTCAGAATAATTGCGACACACAATGAAAATGTGTCCTCACCTCTACTCTGCTCTCAGCCTCAGGAGATGGTCTTCCAAGGTCCCTTCCAAGACAGTCCTCCATATGTCTTTCTGGATGAGCCAGGAGGGCTGCTTTCAGCTCCTTTCTGTAATTTATCAACCACACGGCACCACAAACAAGCCCATTCTCCATTGTATCCCTCAGCAAGCCAGGCTGTGGTCACCATTACACCATTGGAAGTCAGGAGAAACTGTAATGCCATTTGAGATTAAACTCTTGAAGACTCCAACAAGGAAGAATCTCTAGACGGGATGCATGTTTGGGGGTGTGTGAGAAAGGAATGGGATGCAGGCGATCTGGGTTCAGTTCTTAGCTCTGCCACAGACTTCTTCTGACCTTGGGCAAGTCATTTATGGCTAGGTTTTAGAGAGAGCTCAAAATGTTGAGTGCTCAGTGCTTAAAATCAGGCCCTTTTCTCTGCCTCATGAAAAATGAGGATAACACATGCTTTCTCCCATCCTGTATATCTCTTGTCTATTTAGATTGTAAGTTCTCTAGGAGAAAAACCAAGAGATCTGTGTTTTTAGTAGAAAAACACCCTGAAAATTTCATCCAATATGAACATTTTCTGCAAAAGCGTTGGAAATATTTGATCAGCTTTGCTCCTTAGAAATGCACCTAGCAGTTCAAGAAGAGGGACTCGTTACACAGTGGCCTCCACCTGGTTGTGTTGCTGCATCTCAGTGCTGGACTTCAAGGAAGGTAGGATTGCCATATAGGCACAGAGGACCATAGTGGTAGTATTGCTGTAAAGGGTCTGGGGGTGATAGTGGATCACAAATTGAATTTGAGTCAACAATGGGATGCCGTTGTGAAAAAGGCTAATATTCCAGGGTGTATTAGAAGGAGTGGCGTATGTCAGACACAGAAGTAACTGTCCCACTCCACAAGGTACTGGTGAGACCTCAGCTGGAGTACTGGGTCCAGTTCTGGGCGTCACACTTTAGGGAAGGTGTAGACAAACTGGAGGGAGTCCAGAGAAGAGCAACAAAAATGATCCAAAGTTTAGAAAACCTGACCTAGGAGGAAAGGTTAAAAAAAACTGGGCATGTTTAGTCTTGAGAAAAGATGACTGAGGGTGGGAACCTGAGAACAGTCTTCAAACATATTAAGGGCTGTTATAAAGAGGACAGCAATCAATTGTTCTGCATGGGGTAGGACAAGAAGCAATGGGCTTGATCTACTGCAAGGGTGATTTAGGTTAGATATCAGGAAAAACTTTCTAACTCTAAGGGTAGTTAGACTTGGTAATAGGCTTCCAAAGGAGGTTGTGGAATCCCTGTCATTGAAGGTTTTTAAGAACTGGTTGGACAAACCCTTTTCAGGGATGGTCTACTCTAGGTTGACTTGGTCCTGCCTCAGCGCCGGGGTCGGACTTTATGATCTCGAGGTCCCTTGCCGCCTGACATTTGTATGATTCTATATTTATCCCTTTTATAACTCTGCTGTTCTCTACTGAATTTGACCTCAGGTGTTAGCTCACTAGATAACTAGCAAGGCTCCCAAGCTGCCATCTATCCTTAGAGTCTGTATGTAACTAGGAAAACAGGCATATGGCTTTGGTGAGCAGTTCTCCGTGGCCTTAGATCATCCTGGAAGGGGATGTTATAGAAATATGAATAACGGTGGTTGTCAAGTGGGCCACTTGGGTAAGAGGGCAGCTCAGAAGTAAGCTCAGCACAGCTCAGAGGAGCACTACGCTACCTTTCCACCTCCCGGTTATCCTGCAGTCAGCTGGGGACAGTCTGGCTCCCAGCACAAGCTGTCCCGGTCACAAGGACCATTCTCTTGGCAGGCACCCCTTAGGTTCTTGCCAGTGTCTCCTCGCAACCCCTGGCCTCAGCCCCCACCCCTCACTCCAGCTGTATGCTACCCAGGGCCGGTGCAAGGAAGTTTAGTGCCCTAGGCGAAACTTCCACCTTGCGCCCCCCCAGCCCTGCAGCAGCTCCCCGCCCCCCCTCCACCCTGAGGCGCCCCCCCCCCGCGGCAGCTTCCCCCTCTGCCCTGAGGCGCAGCCCCCCACGGCAGCTCCCCCCCCCCCAGGAGCCATGCGGCAGCTCCCCACCCCAGCTCACCTCTGCTCCTTCTCCTCCCTGAACACGCCACCCCCGCTCTAATTCTCCTCCCCTCCAGCTGATTGGCGCTGCAAGCCTGGGAAGTGGGAGAAGTGGAGTAGCGATGGCGTGCTCGGGGCAGGGGGAGGCGTAGCAGAAGTAAGCTGGGGTGGGGAGCCCTGCGGCTGCTCCCCCCCAGGCACTCCCCCCACGGCAGCTCCCCACCCCCCGGCCCGGGGAGCCGTGAGGCAGCTCCCCACCCCAGCTCACCTCTGCTCCACCTCCTCCCCGAGTATGCCGCCCCGCTCTAATTCTCCTCCCCTCCCTGGCTTGTGGTGCCAAACAGCTGATTGGCACCGCAAGCCTGGGAGGTGGGAGAAGTGGAGCGGCCACTGCACGGGAGAGGGAGTCTGAGCCGCACGTGTCAGCGCACCGCCGGCAGCCCAGCCCAGGAACGCTGTAAAAAAAAAATTGGGGGTACCGCTTTTTGGCGCCCCCAAATCTTGGCGCCCTAGGCAACTGCCTAGTTTGCCTTAATGGTAGCATCAGCCTTGATGCTACCCAACAAGTCTCTACACCTGAGGAACTTCATCTTGCCTTTCAGGGCAGCGTGAAATCTTTATGCTACTGGAAAGGTGCAAAAAAAAAAGAGGAGACCTGGCCCTCAGAATTGGAACCCAGCCTGAAATTTGCAAGTTCCCCATACATCTATGTTGAACCAAACCCAGACCTCAGCTCTAGCAATCCCTGGGGCTTTGGGTGTATTCAGTCTGACCCTTATTCTGCAGCTCTTCCCCCAATTGGCTCCAAGAAATCACCCCATGCCTATTGCATAGGACCGATCAAAGGACAAGCCTACCCTCCTGGAAGCTGTAAAAACTAGCAGAACTCGGCTATTACACAACACAGAGCGCACCGGGGTGTGAAATGGCAAGTGCAGCATAGGCCTGGTCTACACTATGAGTTTAGGTGGAATTTAGCAGCGTTAAATCGAATTAACCCTGCACCCGTCCACACAACGAAGCCATTTACTTCGAAATAAAGGGCTCTTAAAATCGATTTCTGTACTCCTCCCCGACAAGGGGAGTAGCACCGAAATCGACATAGCCATTTTTATTAGGTTTCAGAGTAGCAGCCGTGTTAGTCTGTATCCGCAAAAAGAAGAACAGGAGTACTTGTGGCACCTTAGAGACTAACAAATTTATTAGAGCATAAGCTTTCGTGGATCCATTCTATATGCATCCGAAGAAGTGGGCTATAGTCCACGAAAGCTTATGCTCTAATAAATTTGTTAGTCTCTAAAGTGCCACAAGTACTCCTATTTTTATTAGGGTTAGTGTGGCCGCAATTCGACGGTATTGGCCTCCGGGAACTATCCCACAGTGCACCATTGTGACCACTCTGGACAGCAATCTGAACTCGGATGCACTGGCCAGGTAGACAGGAAAAGCCCCGCAAACTTTTGCATTTCATTTCCTGTTTGCCCAGCGTGGAGAGCACAGGTGACCATGCAGAACTCATCAGCACAGGTAACCATGCAGTCCGAGAATCGAAAAAGAGCACCAGCATGGACCGTACGGGAGGATCTGATTGCTATATGGGGAGAGGATTCAGTGCTAGCAGAACTACGTTCCAAAAGACGAAATGCCAAAACATTTGAAAAAAATCTCCAAGGGCATGATGGAGAGAGGCCACAATAGGGACTCACTACAGTGCCGCGTGAAAGTTAAGGAGCTCAGACAAGCCTATCAAAAAACAAAGGAGGCAAACGGTCACTCCGGGTCAGAGCCGCAGACATGCCACTTCTACGCTGAGCTGCATGCAATTCTAGGTGGGGGCCGCTACCACTACCCCACCTCTGATCATGGATTCCGATGAGGGGGTAATCTCAGCCATGCCTGCGGATTCTGCGGATGGGGAAGATGAGGAGGAGGAGGATGACGACGAGCTTGCGGAGAGCACACAGCACTCCGTTCTCCCCAACAGACAGGATCTTTTTCTCAGCCTGACTGAAGTACCCTCCCAACCCTCCCAAGGCATTATCCCAGAAAATGAGGCCATGGCAGGGACCTCTGGTGAGTGTACCTTGGTAAATATAAAACATGGTTTAAAAGCTAGCATTTTTTAATGATTAATTTGCTCTGAGGATTTGGGATGCAGTCTCGACCAGTACAGCTACTGGAAAAGTCTGTTAATGTGTCTGGGGATGGAGCGGAAATCCTCCAGGGACATCTCCATGAAGCTCTCCTGGAGGTACTCCAAAAGCCTTTCCAGAAGGTTTCTGGGTAGTGCAGCCTTATTCCGTCCTCCATGGTAGGACACTTGACCATGCCATGCTAGTAGCAAGTAATCTGGTATCATTGCATGACAAAGCCAGGCAGTGTTTTCTGGCATTCAAGCAACATCCGTTCTTTATTTCGCTGTGTTATCCTCAGGAGAGTGATATCGTTCATGGTAACCTAGTTGAAATACAGGAATTTAATTAAGTGGACAAAGGTGGCCGTTCCTACTGGCCTGTTTGTCTGTGGCTGAAAAGAAATCCTTCCCTGCAGTTAGCCAAGCAGGGGTCAGGGGGGAAGAATAATTGGCGCTGAGCTTTTCGCGTTTGGCTAGCAGGGATCTTCCACCCCAGTTAGCCATGCGGTGGGGGGAGGGGTAAAGCGATCATCCCAGAGAATTGGATGGGGGGGGGGTTAGTTTGGTTTCTGCAGGGATCTTCCCTGATACCAGCCACACGGTGGGGGGAGAAATAAAGCGATCATCCCAGAGAATTGGATGGGGGGGTTAGTTTGGTTTCTGCTGCTGCACGTTAACAGGAAAACCGCAGCACTCAACGGGCTTTGCTTGGTATGTGGGAAAGGAGGGTGCTGCTTTTAGGAAGACTGCAGAAGCCGAAAGACAATGGCTTACCATGGCCGCATGCAAGCTGAATTCTGTTGCCTGGACCTGCGTCTGTGATCTCTAACACCAAAGCCGTAGGCACTTAATATTAAGTTGCAAAATGTGACCTTGTACCGAAATCACATGTGCTATGTAATGTGAATAGTGTTGTTCACCGTGAAAGAGTATAAGCATTGTTCTGTAAAATGTATCTTTTTAAATACTTCTCTCCCTTTTTTCCCTCCCTCCCGCAGCTGCAAATTTTTCAAGCCTCCCTCCTCTGTCCCGAAGGCTATCTCAGATAAGATGGCGAAAAAAAAGGATGCAAGACTAAATGTTCTCTGAAATCATGGAATCGACCCTCAATGAAAGAGCTCATCTGAATGAGTGGAAGGACACGGTATCAAAGTACAGGAAAGATGCCAGTGAACGTGTGGCCATGAGGGACGCTCGAGATGAGAGGAGGCAGGCTGCAACGCTGGGGCTGCTGTGTGATCAAACGGACATGCTCCGGCGTCTGGTGGAGCTTCAGGAATGGCAGCAGGATCACAGAGTGCCTCTGCAGCCCCTGTATAACCGCCCTCCCCCCTCACCATGTTTCATAGCCTCCTCATCCAGATGTGTAAGAACACGGGGGGGGAGGGAGGAGGGGAGGCTCTGTGCACCTGCCCACTCCACCCCAGTGGACAGCCCAAACAAAAGGCTGTAATTATTTTGAACTTTTTTAGTGGCCTTTTCCTTCCCGCCTATCCTCCTCCCAAACCCCACCCGGGCTACCTTGTCAGTTCTCTCCCTATGTTTATATTCAATTAATAAAGAATACATGATTTTTAAACGATAGTGACTTTATTTCCTTTGAAAGCAAGCTGTGATTGAAGGGGGAGGGTGGGTTGTTTACAGGGAATGAGTCAATCAAGGGGGCAGGTTTTCATCAAGGAGAAACAAACAGAACTTTCACACCATAGCCTGGCCAGTCATGAAACTGGTTTTCAAAGTTTCTCTGATGCGCAGCTCT